GGAAGTACCAATTGATTTAAAGAGATATTGGGAGGTATTTGTAGAGATTGGGGGTAAAAAAGGAAAATATAAAATATTATTTACAACAATGACAGGACTCAAATCCTCAAGATAAGGAATTCAGAAGAAAATCAAAAGGACTTACAGAATAGTAACACGATTTCTTGATGTTTTTATGTACAGGGTGCCTCTAAACAAATAATAATATGAGGTCAAGTGCGTATGAATAACAATAGAAAGTATACGCAAGAAAGTACCAACTTATTAAATAGAAAAAGGGTGATATTTATAAAAATTGGTGTTTAAAAAAACTATTTGTACTAAATTGATAGGAATAAAATCCTTAAAATAAATGAATCAGGAGAAAATCAAAATGATTTACAGAATAATAACATGATTTCAAGTGCGTATGAGTAACAGCAATAATTATACGGACGATAGCACCGATTTATTTAAATAGAAAAGAATAATATTTGTAGATCTTCGTGTTCTAAAAATTTTAATGAAATATTTTTACTAGACGGACTAGAATTAAATCTACAGAATGATAACATGATTTATACTGCGTATGAGTAATAACAACAATTATACGCAGGATAGTACCAATTTATTTAAATAGAAAGGGGTAAAATTAGTGCTCTACCTATTAAAATAAAATATTTTTCACCTGAAGGACAAGAAGCAAATATCAAAAATGCGATACTCTGGTTAAAACCAAAAATGAGAATTAAAGAATACCTTCGAAAAAATCAAAACTTTCCACTTTTATTTCAAATCAATGTAGATTTATTTTATAAAAAAAAAACAATATTTTAGCAAATTAAGTTAATAAAAAATATTCAGAATCTTCGATAGAGAATATCATACGCTTAAAAATATGTTCTTGTGGTTTAAAATTTGCTACATCATGCGAAAATTCAATGTTCTTAAAAAATTTTTAAAATACTGGCGTATAAGCCATGACAATAATCATACGCATTGTAATACCATAACCTTTCCTGAAGGAATTTTATATATATATATATATATTTCATAGTGCCCAGTCTTTCGACCTTAAGGCTGGAATTGGAATATATATAGAAAAAAAATGCAATCTTTTAAAAGAATATTTAAAGTACTGGCGTATAAGTCATGACAGCATTGTAGTACCATAACTAAAAAAACTTGTTTTTGAAAATAACCTTTCCTGAAGGTATAAAAATGTATAAAAATGCACTAGTTTGACTGATGTTTTTAATAACCCTATTTTCTGAGTCATAATATTCAATCATATTTCTAATAAGTTGCCATTTGAGTCGTATAAGTAATGACAATAATCATACGTAATATGTTATCATATTTATAATAAATATCCCATGGCTTCAAGAGCAGAATACTTGCTAATCACAGTAGTCTATATTTTGAAAATATATTCCGAAAATATGAAATCAATACCAGAGGCACAAAGAAAAATTCCACTTCTTTCTTTGCGAACTACTCTTTTTTGTCAGGGTCATATTTTGTGGTGAAGTTCAATATTGTCTTCTATGTCCTCTTCTTTAGATTGAGGCTTTAACTTAATGGTCCATTATTTAAGAATCTTAGACATAGCACACAAATCTTCAATAGAAAACCATTTACAAGAATATTTGATTTTAAAAGTATTGACGTATAAGTCATGACAACAATTATACGTAGTAGTGTACCATCACTATCAATTATCATTTCGGAAATTCGAAATTTCATACTTATTAAAATATCCTGCAAATATTTGGCACTAACTTGAAAATATTTCCTTTAAATTCCACAATCATACGTAGTATGGTACCATATTTATAATAAATAATTCCTGAACTAAGATCCCCCATGGCTCTGAAAACTACTCGCTTATCACAGTTGCCTATATTTCTAGAATATATTCCGTAAAAATGAAAAAAGAAAAATTTAATTGTGGAGAATATGAATATTGTCTCTTTCTTCTTTAGACTGAGGATTTAACTTCATGATCCATTATTTAAAAATCTTAGATATAGCATACAAATCTTCGATAGAAACCCATTTACCAGAATATTTGATTTTAAACGTATTGACGTATAAGTCATGACAACAATCATACGCAGTAGTGTACCACCACTAATTTAATTTCATTTAGGGAATTAGGAATTTCGTAATTGTTAAAATATTTGGCACTAACTTGAAAATCGATCATCTGGATCATCATAATCTATTTTGATTTAAACCCAGATATCAAGCACCCTGTACATATAAAATATAACAACAACATTTTTATTAATTTTATATTTTTATTTAATTCTTTTTTCAGTTGTAAATTTATTTCCCCTCTTTAAGTGTTGCTTATTCGCTTTTTAAATCTCCCACTTTTTGGTTTAGCTTCTTCGACATATTTCCTTATATCATAATGTCAATATATATATTAAGAAAAATAATTCAATATAAATACACACACACACACCGTACATGTCATTTATGTATAAAACAACCAATACAAAAAATTAGTTAACATAACTTACTAAAATATTTAATATACATAAATGTATAATATAAGTAGGCTTGATAATTATTGGCGCACTGGCATAATTGTTATTTTTTGGCAACAAATTTCAAATATACTTAGTTCACCGAATGATATATATTGCTATATATTATTATAAATATTACAATAATTGCAATATAATTTTTATAGCAGTTTTGCGGCTTGAAAATCGAACTGAATAATATACAAATTAATTTAAAAAGTAATTGATACAATTAGCATGTTTATATGCTATAGTAGAAAAGCTGCAAGAAATATGCAATAGTAGAGAATATTCAAACAAATTAAATTTTAAGCTATAATTATTAGTCATACGCCAAACGTCATATTTTTATATAAAATACGTGGATCGAAAATGAGAACATTGAAAACATTTATTAAATGAATTTTTTAGACTTGGAAATTTTAGTCATAATTAAATAGATTTAAAATCTAATCTAGTGGCGTATGAGTATCGACAGCAATCATACGTATGAGGTAACAAATTCCGCAGTTATTGAGAAGTGCATAATATTCTAAGAATGAAATTATCACATGTGTATAAAAAGCAAGTATACTCAAGGTATACCCAATCTGAAATATTTCAAAAGTAACACTCTCATACAAATTATAAGAATTCAAAGGAAATAGAATATCTATAGGGATCCCAACAAGTGGCGTATGAGTATCAGCAGGAGTTATACGTTGAATAGGATATATAAAATAAGATATATTTACTTGAACATAATAAATATTTAAAGGCAAACATTTAAAGGTTAGATCTCACAACCTTATATCAAAAATATGGATGATGAATATGATGCATACTGTTATATATGCGATTTTTTTTTAATCATCGAATGAGTTTTGAGAAGTCTGTAATATTAGAAGTCATAAACTCAACACTAAATTCATTTTACTATTATTTTTATGATTGCCAACAAATTCTGTAAATACGATGTTACAATAGATTGTATTGTTTTTGTTTTAATTCATAAAATAGAATTGAAACAGAATATCGTATTAAGGGGACCCCCCACATTCTCGGGGTCAAAATTGTTTTTGATTTAATTTGAATCTACACTAATTCAAGAATGTCCCTACAAAATTTCAAGTGAAAATCTCAAGAACTCTTGAAGATATAGCCGATTTATTGTGTCAGCATAACGGGCTTCTCAAACTTTAAACGCGTTTTTCTCTTTTGCGAATGGCGGGCACGATAACTCAAAAACGAATAATCCGATCGGTTCCAAATTTTGACACGTTTCTCTGGGAGTGTATAGCTCTCGTATGAACTAGGATAAAGCCAATCGGAGAAGAACTTCCTTATTTTTAAACTTAGTTTGTGGAAATAAAATAGGCGATTTTCCAAAAAAAAAAATTCAAAGTTCCGCCATTTTGTTAATTGTTGTGCGAAGTAAATAATCCTAGTTAATACGAGAGCCAGACATGTACTCTTTCTAACACCGTTGGAATTTTCGGATTCCGATGTTCCAATGAGGAGTTATCATGCCCGCCATCAAAAATAAGGACTTTTGTTTGATCACAAAAAACAACAACAAAAATTTTTTGTTAATTATTTTTCTTCCTTTTTAAATCTTCAAATATATATGTGCAAAGTTACAAACATTAACAAGCATTGGTATTCATTTACCAGCCCATTTAAAATCTTAAAAATAAAAAATCGAGAATGGGGGGTTCCCTTAATACAATTTAATAATGAATATTACTTATGCCCAACAAAGGCTAATTAATAGAGTTGCTCATACGCCCCTTTCGACATCATACTTCCGCAAAGTATTATTATTGCCCATTTACCGATCTGAGAATATTAAAATTGTTATATGCTAGGAATTTTACACACTATATTAAAAAAATGTGAGGCATTTAAACTAGAATATAAATGATTAATATATATTGACATTATAAGAAAGAGGAAATATGTTTCAAAATTTTATTATTTTAGATCTCCTAAATCCCCATTAGACTCTTGGCAGGACAACGTCCTTATTTTACAATTCTAATTCAAACACTCCAAACTACGTCAAACTATCCCTTTTTATTCTCTCCTTTGTCTAACATATCATTGTTTTTGTATTCGTAAACAAATTACACAGAAATACACAGTGGAACACCTAATTAGATTATGCAGACAAACAAGACAAGCTTTTGGATATCCTTAATGATTTCTTTCATTTTTTTTTTCGTAATTGTCGGTAGTTTTGCATCCATACAGCGGGGAAGTTTGTACTCGTATCTAGTTTGTAATACATTTTTTTACAGCATGTGAAAAGAAATTGTTGGCTGCCAAAGTAGCCAAAAACAATACCACCACAAGCCACCACCAACAACAACAAGGAGACATATTTGTCAGCTTTCTTACATCATATCGAGGATTTTTAAAAAAAAACATTTTCTGTGTCATTAGCATGTTTACAAACATATATCTATTTAATTAAAAAGTTATAAAGAAAACAAAATACAAATAATGCACCATCAAGGTAAGCTGCACTTAATGGCCGTAGTGAGCAGATGAATGGCAAATCCAAGACTATCATAAAAATAACATTAAAAACATATAATGTCAGCTACATATTTGTTTGTATTGTGAGAGATCTAGAACTCAACTCCACTCTACAACTACTATTCGTCCACCAGCCACCTTCATTGATGAATGTTTTGCTAAATCAATCAATCAAAAACAAACTGTGTGATATTCAATCCGTAAGCTTTTTTTCTATATTCGTTATATTTACATATTTATATTTCAATATAAATAATCTATTTATATATTAACTAAAAAACTATTCATTTGGTTGGTTTATTACATATTTATAAATAATATTAATTAATAATTGCTTTGTATATTTCAGTCTTAGAAAATTATTTTTATTTTGCTGTGTTTTTTTATTTTTTTCTTTTTGTATATAAATTATGTGTTTTTTTAATATATATAAAATGTTTTTTTTAATCTTAAAAAAGAAGGAGTAAGCTTATAAAATAAGATATTTGAGCAACACAATTCTCAGGTCAGAATAAAATATTTATAAAAAGTGTAGTAGTCAGATCCCCTATTTATCACCCTATAAGTTTATGGGAGCGGCCAGAGCCAAACTCCTGAAACTATTTTGAATATCATACTACTTAATTAAAAAAAGTGTTTAAGCCTATTATCAGTCGTACAATAAAAATTTATTCTTTGGTGTAGAAGGGAAAAACATATATTCAAAGGACAATAAACTAAAAACTAGGGATTCCTCAAATATTTTTATCATAAAAGTATTTCAACATTGAAAATTATTCATTCGAAATTGTTAAAACGGCACCGGTTATCGGTTATAATGACTCCTATATAAAAGTCCCGAGAAAAGTTCTACCCTATATTTTATATCGTTTATAATAACATATCGCTTATAGCGACCAATTTCGCTATAAGGTTTGAAATATTGGTCATAAGCAGAAATTATTTCTAGGATATTTGGTATTGAGAACGAGTTATACCGACCCACCTTTTGGTAAAGTCGCCAGATAAAAATAGTCCCAATTTCGGTATTTTATAGATTTAATTCACATATTAATTCACATTCTGTCATATCTCTCATAGCTGGGCCTTGAAATATTTTGAAGTTCTTTGTTGCATTTTCTTATCGAGTGCCTCACCACAATAAACAGTACCCTAGACCCACCCCTAATTTTCGCTACTCATCCGTAATTTCGAATCAAGATTTCTGTAATATAAATCTTTTGTTTCACAAATATAAAAAGGTTTTTTCGAAATTTTTTTTTCCAAACTTAGTTCAAGTTCGAAGATGGGGAGTATCGGACTTTCCGATTTGAACCAAACTTTGCACAGCCTATTGTTCTAGACCCAGTCCGATGATGGAACCTATTGGTCCACTCCTTCTGATACCTCCTCCAATATTTTTAAATCCAATATCAGGCGAATGGAATGTCAGATTTGAACCAAACTTTGCACAGTCTATTGTCTTTGCCAAAACTAGACCCAGATGGGACCCATTGGTCCACTCCTTCTGATACTTTCCCCATAGCGGGTCAATATTTATAAATTCAATATTAAGCGAAGGAATAAGAACAAAACTTTGCACAACCTATTATCTTTACCAAGCCCAGATCCAGTCCGAAGAAGGGGCCCATTGGTCAAATTTTTCAATATGTGTAAATCTAATATCAGGCGAACGGAATGTCCGAATTGAACCAAACTTTGCACAGCTTCTTATTTCTACCAAGCCTAGATAAAGTCCGAATATAGGGCCCATTGACTCACTCCTCCTGTCACCTCCCCCACAAATGTTCAAAATTTTCAATACTTATAAATCCAATATCAGGCGAATGGAGTCTCCGATTTGAATCAAACTTTGCACAAAATATTATCTTTACTAAAACCTAGACTCAGTGCGAAGATGGGACCCATTGGTCCACTTCTACTGGTCTCTCCCCTACAAAGGCTCAATATATTATACATTTTTAAATTTTATCTGGAGCGAATAAAATAACAGATTTGACCAACATTAAATCCGAAACCACTTTTATAAAAACATATACCTTATATAAAACGAATAACAAAACCTGTGAGTAATTCCGAAGACCTCCGTACACCATAGCCTGAGGGTATATATCTGTCGGCAACACCGACTAAAAGTTTTTTACTTGTTAGTATATTGAATGTCCTAGATGATTTCTCTAAAAAAAGAGGTTATAATTTGGAATTTCGAATTCCCAGAGGTCTTCTATTTGCATTTTAAAGGTTTGGCACTTTGAAGTTCTGATCAATTTTAATTATTTTGAAGCTTAAAAAAGAGGATTTTTTTAACTGAAGAGGTTGTAATTTCTACTAGTTTAATGCCGCTATATAGCTTTCTCAAATAAAAATATTATCAATTGAATTATTCAGAAACTTTATGATGCATTTTTATCTGAAAAGGTTGTCACTTTAAATTTCGGATTCCTAATGGATCAAACACCTCCTGAAAAACATTTTCACACACTTTTCTGTCCCGATCGATTTTAGATCATTTGTGAGTCACAACCACTTTTATCATCCGAATTAAATCTAATTTGGCATTTCGGTTTTTTATTTAAATTTCGAGGTAAGCTCCATACTATGGTATCCGCATAATTTGGTATTAAGGGCTCGTTTTTTCAACCGAATGAAATAGTTTGATTTTTTTAGGTTTTTATAGGATATCAAATATTTCTACCGAATATATATAAAAGTACGTCCACTTCATATTGGATGGTATAAAGATTTGGAGCTGATCGAACTTAACTATCTCATTATATTTCATAAGACGGAATTCCTTGCAATTTTTTATAAATGTGTATTCGACAGCTAATTTCGATAATTTCATCTACTGAATATTTCATAGAATTTGACTTAAAAAAAAAAAAACAAAATATTCTTTTGGCTCAAAAAATAAATTATCGATATGAACCATTTTTTCAGCCGAATTCCAACTCATAGAGTTTAGATCCATTTTGCACCTTTTATATCATTGTTTTTACCAATATTTGTATCTTTACTCCTTCTTTTTTGTATATCCTAACTTACCCATTATGTTTTTAATTATATTTTCCATGTTTGATATATTTTATATTGTGTTTTTTTATTCATTTTTTAAATTACTGTTTGTACATTATTTTATAAAAACAATCCCTAAGAACATATATTAACTAAACTTTTTTATTTTTTCTTTTTTACCATCTCCAGGTACGCTTCTACTGTAAAGCCAATATATATAAAAAACAAAAAACAAAAATACTTACCTTTATAGAAATACATACTATTTTACTGTTTTAATATTTCCCAAACAAGCTCGAACTAACTAACTCAGAAACAACAAGAATAACATAAAAAACCCAAAAACAATCAAAAAGACAATAGAAAAAAGTATACAACACAAAACAAACTTTAAAAACACCTCCTTGCAACACCACAAACACAAAAGAGAATAAAAACATTTTCAAAATGAAAATGTTTTTCCAATATCTTTCCAAATGTTGTAATTGTGTACACGTACTAACCCAATATTACGTTTTTTGTTTTAGTTACATTATTAGTCTGTTGTATTGCTTTGAAAAAAATCCCAAAAAAAAAAAACTTTGTGCTAAACAACATCGCAAAAGGATGGAAGAAGATGATGATGAAAATGGACACATACACACAATATGCTTCTTATTTTATGTTTTAGAATATTTTTGAAGAAACCCAAACAAAAAAGTAGTTAAGCTTACAACATCAAGAACAACAACAAAAAGACCTAACACAATCCTCCACCAAACACCACCTGTCGCCCACTTTTGAAAATGGTAAAGCGAACGTTACAACCTGGCTTTTTTATTATTGCTTGATATTTGCCTCTAGTAGTGTTTTTTAGATGCTCCTCCCAAGATGACAACAACACATCACCATCCTCTGTGTGCTGTATGCGCTAGTACCAACAACAAAACACTTGTCGTCCTGAATTTCCCCAAAAACCAACATAATATCACTGTAAACAGTTTAACTTGTATACATCGATACAGATAATACACCTACACATATACTTACACATACATACAAACGCCTACATTTGCACCATTGCACTTTACTAATATTTTCTTTCGTCATACAATATTTGCTTTGATTTTATTTGAAATATTATTTTATATTTCTCATTTTTGTAAAATTGCCGAAATTTTCGTATTTAAAAATTACAGTCTGTTAAGATAGACTCTATATTCAAATTGTTGATTATTTTTAATATTGTCCGAACTCGTAAAAAACTCCTATTTAAATACCTTCAACCATAAGGATATACACAGTCGAAACCGTCTGTAATGACATATCGGTTATGACGATGGTCATGCTCATTAGCCGTTGTTATGACCTCATTAACCGTCTTATGAACTCATTAACCGTCCTTTTGAGGAGTTTTGAGAAAAAAAGAACCGGGTTTCTAAAATTTTGAACCGGGTAATCAGATAATAAACCCGGTTCAATAAATTTAGCACGTTTTTTCATTAGCTTTCTTATGATATGCATATAAGGTATAGAAACCGGTTTTATTATCTTAATATCCGGTTCAAAAATTTATAAAACCGGTTCTTTTTTCCTCGAAATTTACTTTTTTTGCATATTTGGCATAACTTTATAGGTTTTAAGAAAGCAACTTAGACGAATCCGACAGTTCTACATAATTAGGATGTACATATACCGAATTTATTGGAACACATACATATGGGGTTTTTGGTGACAAGAAAAGGGTAAAATTTAGAATAGACCCATAAATCGTTAAAATATCGACTTCCCGTATGTTAGGAATCACCTAAAATCTTATAAACAACATTTGTTTAGAATATTGCGAGGATGAAAAATCGCATCTTGTGATAATTGGAGTCCGGTTCAATAAATTAAGGACGTAAAGGACATACAAGGAATCGAGATAGAAGGACGCAATGTTCTACAAAGAAATTCTTTATGTGATTTTACTGCAGAAATGTA